CTGCCTCAGCCTCCCAAGTAGCTGGGACCACAGGCGCCCGCCACAACGCCCGGCTATTTTTTGGTTGCAGCCGTCATTGTTGTTTGGCGGGCCTGGACTGGATTTGAACCCGCCAGCTCAGGTGTATGTGGCTAGAGCCTTAGCCACTTGAGCCACAGGCGCCGAGCCAGCTGTGGCAGTTTTTTAGTGGTGTGTCTGCTCTCACCCATCTTCCTGTCAATGCCAAGGCAGGGATGGATTACTATCAACCCCTATGAAAGAATACTAAACAAAATGAGTCATGTATTTTAGCATTGTGGTTTTCATTTCTAACCTTACATTTTCACATGTGTTTGATGCTTATAGGATGAAAAAAATTAGTAAAACATTTTTCTTTCCTGCACCAAGGGGTTGATGTAACTGAGGGTTGTAGAGAAAATATGGCTGTACAAGTAGAAAAAGATGATATTGGAAGAATGAGGATGACGCCAGTATGCATGGGTTTTGTGATGGTTGGATGGCTACCTTTCAGCCCAACATACATGCTTTTCTTCCCTCAGTCTACCAACTAGATGCGACAGCTGGTCAAACTCAGACCGCTCCCTGGAACAGACTTCCTTTGATGAAGTCTTTATTGACTGCCTACAGTCGCTGCCCTCCAGTCATTTGCTCCACCCCTCACTCCGTAGAAATGGATCTCAGGAGGAACCTTCCATGAAGCTGCAGGCTGCCCTGATCTGGAGCAGAGAAATCAGTGGACCATCCAAGGACCACTTGTCGTCTTCATCATTGCTGGAAACATCCTTAAGTCCCACCATTCAGATAGATAAAAACCAAGGTTACTTGCCACGTGGGATGAAAGAACTAGACATTATGGCCAACACTCCACCTCCCCGCCCCCCTAAGCCAAGCCATCTTTTAGAACGGTGCCAAGAGGAGCAGCTCCTGTGGAGTGGGCACAACAGTGGCAAGAAGGCAGAATGCACCCTGGTTCCAAGAAGAATCTCTCTCTCTGGTTTAGACAATGTGAGAACCTGGAAAGGTGAGTGTTTGGTGCTAACATTAAGGTGCAGGTAAGGGTTGCCTTACCTGTCTCCTCTTCACTCCATGTAAGGATTTTACTCATTGTCCCTAGCACAAGCTGTCTCCTAATGGGGCTGGGTCCTGGGTGGAAACACATAGCCTGAAAATACCACTCTTCTGCTTCTGAGTCACCCCCTTCTCAGCCTGGCTGCCAGGAGACATACTTACCACCTTGGAGCTGCTGCAAGAAGTTGGAGCCATGAGCCCTTCTGATGAACTTGCAATGTGAGCCCTTGTCCTTGTGGGGGCTCTGCACCTGAGACTGAGCTCCTAGGTTTTGTTTGGAGTCACACAGGACCCATTTGGCACAGAAGGTTATGGTTTTTTGGCTCAGCTCAGCTCCAGTCCCTTCTTTGCCTCTTACATATACAGTGAGACTTCAGACCACAGCTTCTATTTTTAAACAATCTCATCATCTCAACCTCATTCATCATCCCACCTACTCTTCTCTCTTATGTCAGCTTCTCAGATAGACACAAACTAATTATTTCTCACTATCTCTTTCTTTCTTGCATTCTCTCTTTCCTCTGCTACCTCTTCTCTCTATATATATATCCAAATATAATTGCTCACCCATTGATACCTATTTTGTCCATGTTTTAAAGGAATTATGGAAAGTATAAGGTATGAAAATTTGTTTTCAAATTATATGAATCTTTCATTCTTATTGAGAAACTAAGTCACTGTGCAAAGACTACTGCAGTGTCACTAATGATGTTACCAACCATTACACATCTTGCTTCCTTCTGAAAATCCCAATAATATGCTGATTATACAAAAAGTCTTAATGAGCTCGCATTTGTGAACAGTAGACAAAAAGGGGGAAAGGAAAGAAGAGTTAAGCAGATTTTAGAAAATGAAATGAATAAAATGGAAGAATAATAGAATATGAAAATGAATCAAGTCTCAAATTGAAGAACTAAAAAACATAATAATTAAAAAATTGAAGACAAACATAAAATAATTAGGTTGTATTGTTTTACATGAAGGTAAAAGAATTAAAGTCAGTAAAATAAAAAGTTTGACAGTGAAACACAGACCAAAACAACAGTGGTGACTAGAAGACCTGTGCCCAGATAAAGCACAGGGAAATGTAAAGTTTATTATTCCATCTTTCCCACTGACACCCACCTGTAATCAATGTTTGTGCATGGTGGCAGAGTGGGGTCAGGTTTGTTTTGTTCATCCAAATCTCCATCTGATGACTGGGCACCTTTTATTGGAAAGACTGTCCTGTCCCCTCTGGTAGAAAAGTTCCTGTGTGTGAGAGTCTAAGTCTTGGTTCTGCTTCTCCCTTGGCAGGCGCACTTGTCCATCTAACACCAGTACAACACTCTCTTAATTACTGTACCTTTCTGTCTTGATCTCCAGTGGGAGAAGCCCTCCAAGCTGTTTTTAAAAAGTGCTATGTCAATTCTAGAGTCAACTTTACAACTGGATGGTCAGGTTCTAGACATACATACACATATATATTGGGGATATTTATATAGATCAGTTAGAAAAAGTCTTTTTTTTTTTTTGAGACAGAGTCTCACTATGTTGCCCTCTGTAGAGTGCTGTGGTGTTATAGCTCACAGCAACCTCCAACTCTTGGGCTTAAGCGATTCTCTTGCTTCAGCTTCCCAAGTAGCTGGGACTACAGGTGCCCGCTACAAACACCTGGCTATTTTTTGTTGCAGTTGTCATTATTGTTTAGCTGGCCTGGGTTGCGTTTGAACTTGGCACCCTCTGTGTATGTGGCTGGCTCTATAAACACTATGCTATGGGAACCAAGCCTAGTTAGAAAAACTCCTTTATAGGTATCATTGTAGGAAAAGAATTTATGGTGAAGACCCCAAAGGCAATAATAGTAACAACAAAAATAAATAAATGGGACCTCATTAAATTAAAAAGCTTCTGCACATCCAAGGACATAGTCAATAGGGTGAATAGGCAACCTACAGAACGGGAAAAATATTTGCACACTATATATCTGATAAAAGGCTAATAATCAGAATCAACAAAGAACTTATTCCAATAAACAAAAAGATATCAAACAACCTCATTGAAAAAAGGACAAAAGACATGAACAGAAGCTTTTCAAAAAAGATAGACTAACAGCTAATAAACAAGCAAAAAAAAAAAAATGCTCCAGGTACTAATCATTAGGGAAATGCAACTCAAAACTAGATTGAGATATCACCTAACTACAGTGAAAATGCCTTTTATCTGAATGTCCTAAAACAACAGATGCTGCCATGAATGCAAAGGAAGTAGAGCACTTTTACACTGTTGGTGGGATTGCAAATTAGCAGTACAGTTTGAGTCATGGTTTTAATTGTGTCTAATTAAAAGTACTATGGAGAAATAAAAGTAGTCCTACCTTTTGATCCAGCAATCCCACTACTGGGTATGTATCCAAAGGAAAATATGGCACACTTCCAGATAGAAGGTCACAAATACAACTTAGATTTTACCTTACAAATGCAAACAACATAACCTAATTGTATGTACTCTCATATTAATCACAAATAGTCATTCTATAAAAAAGACACTTGAATTTTGAATGTTAATAGCTTCACAATTGATAGTTGCAAAGATGTGTAAATGACCCAGGTGCCCATGAATACACGAGTAGATTAATAAAATGTGGTATATGTATACTATGGAATACTACTCAGCCATAAAAAATTATGAAATAGGCTCGGCGCCTATAGCTCAACCGGCTAAGGCGCCAGCCACGTACACCTAAGGTGGCGGGTTTGAATCCCCAGCCCGGACCCGCCAAACAACAATGACGGCTGCAACCAAAAAATAGCCAGGCGTTGTGGTGGGCGCCTGTG